ATATTATTAGCATAGTACAATGCCAGTATAGTGTGTTTATCTTAGTGTGTTTGTGTACATATATATTCATTCTATATTTTTCAATTTTTCCCTGAAAAATCAAAGTAGGGCCAATAACTTTTTCCTGTAATTTTCTATTTTCTCCAGACCTTTATACCTCTGTATTTACTTGCGGGATGCTTCACTATTCAATAATTTATTCCGTGCATAGGCCCTGGTTATGACCAAGGGGTTTATCACACAAGACAACTGCAATTACAGCAGGACAACAGTTTCGTTGCCTTGGACTTCTCATTGCTGCTCTCCAGATGGGAAAACATTGGAAAGTGATTTTTTTTTATTATGGAAGGCGAATAACTGATTATTTGAGTCTGTAAAAGAAAGTTTCCCATTGGAAGAGTGAGGGGAAAGCAGCAAAGTCATGCAATAAATGTAAGACATTAGCACTGTTTTCTTTGCCTATCTCATGTGGTAAACCTTTTTGTAATAATATTCAGTTATTATTATTAAATTCCAGAGGAGAACCTATGACAGCCCCTTGCAACAAAAAAGGTCATAAAACACATTTTGAAACTAACGAATTCTATGATTATCTAATGATGTGGGCGCTTACAAAAAGGAAGTGTACGCAGAATTGAAGTTGTTAGACTACGGGTGTCACAAGACTTATTTGTTCTCCTTTTCAAGGTGATTCTTGTCAGAAATATTCAAAATTAATTGGGTATTTTTGATTACAAAAGTGTGACCAAGCACTGAAAGAGTTGGTAGGCTGAAGCCTGTTAGAGTTAGTGGGCCAAAGCTAGTGTTGCCCTGAGGAGAGTGAGTAGGCCGAAGCCTGTTAGTGTTAAATTTGCCTCAGTGAGGGAACGCCTCGGTCTGTCTGAGGCTTGTCTGTGTGAGGTAAACGTCTGTATGAGAGAAGCCTCTCACGTGAGGGAGCTCCAGTGTATAAAGGCTGCCCTGTGTATAAAGTTACTATGTATATGTGTGTGTATAAAGTTACTATGTAACTGTGTTATGGAAACCTTGTTATTGTAAATAGTAGGAGCTCCTGGTGGCGCAGTGGGTTGAACCCTTGTGCCGGCAGGACTGAAGATTGCGAGGTTGCAGGTTCGAATCCGGGGAGAGCGTGGATGAGCTTGTGTTGGGTCATGCTGCTGCTTATAAGCTATTCTGCTATATCTTTATGGGGAGAGTCTTTTCTTAATAAGCCCACACAGCCAACTATTCTTACCACCAAAATATTTCAATGTCCCTCAAAGGAAGCTGGTGGACAGATCAGCACAAACCTCGGTAGGACCAGGTGCTAGATATGATCAGATTACTAAATATGATCAAACTGTAATGGCTTCTGAGAAAAGAGTTGGAAACCAAAAGTGGAAGGGAATTTGATACAGTTGGCAGCAGCTTACATGATTTCTGAGAAGAGGTTAAAAGTAACAAGTAAAACACAAATTCTGTTTTTGGATTCTTGCAAGAGTTTAGAAATCACAGTAGAGATTAGAGGTAAGGGGCCTGTGTCTCATAAAGTATTTATGCTTCTAGACATTCTTTTTGAAGGCCAGGAGAGCAGGGGCTTATGGGCTCCCGCCATTCTTCGATTCTTAGGCACAGCAACTATAACAATGCAGGATGAGATTTGTTCCCAACCTTTTTTTAAGGAGCCCCAGGTGGCACAGTGGGTTAAAGCGCTAAGCTTCTGGACTTAATGACCAAAAGATCGCAGGTTTGAATCCAAGAAGCCGCTGTCAGCCCCAGCTTCTGCCAACCTAGCAGTTCGAAAACATGCAAATGTGACTAGATCAATAGGTACCGTTCAGGCGGAAAGGTAACGGCGCTCCATGCAGTCATCCTGGCCGCATGACCTTTGAGTTGTCTATGGACAACACCAGCTCTTCGGCTTAAAAATGGAGATGAGCACCAACACCCAGAGTTGGACATGACTGGACTTACTGCCAGGGGAAAACCTTTACCTAACCTAACCTTTTTTTGACCAGGGACCACTTTCCAACATTAGCACCAAAAGGGTTACGAATCAGTTTAGATTCGGATTAGTTATTTGGGGTGCTGATTCAGAAAATTCCATTGGCTAGACCACATCAGCTCTAGTTTCTGATACAGAACATATGCCATCCAATAGTTG